AGCAGGGGCTCCTGGCACTTGTCAGTAAAGCGATCAGTGCAGGGCACTCTCGACTATGGGTGGCATGGCCAGCCTCCAGGGCTGAGCCGATTAGGGAATGCTATCTTTAGAAAAAGCAGGGCCACTGCAAGAGTAAATGTGCTGTAGGAGTCCCCAGGCCGGGACTGGTTGACCTGACCTCTCACACTCTCTGACCCCAGTATACAGCCCATCCCATTGACCTCCCAGCCCCAGTAGCTCTGCTCCCTCCCAACCCTCCCTCATGATTCCAGGGCACCTCTCCTATCACCTCCACCCTTAGACATGGACAATGCAGAGCTGTGCACTCTCACTGGGAGCACCTGGAGCAGGGATGACTAAAATATAGCCCATGGGCTGGATTCACCTCACCAAGGGCTGGGGCCAGGGCAGAGCCACAATCCACTCCCTGCACATTCCAGTGCCGGGCACTGACTCTGCAGGCAGGGATATGGGAGGAGCGGGTCGCAGCTCTGCCCTAGGCCCCCAGCTCTGTGCTGTCACTGCCCAGTGATCCCAGCCCAGCCCACCAATCTCACTTCCTGGCCGCCTGTGGCCCCAGCCCATCTGCCGGGCCAAGCGCACCCTGCCTGTGTGGGTCCTGGGGCATAGCCACTTAGGGAGTTTTGGTGAGCTGTGGTGGGGGACAGGGAGGGGAGTGCTGACCCTGCCCACGACAACTCACCAATACTCCCTAAGTGGCCTTTGGGCCCAACTAACTGCCCACCCCGACCTGAAGAGACCAGCCTTTGCCAATCCCACAGCCTGCAGGAGGAGGTGCTTGTTGCCAAAGCCAGCCCTGTGGTACAGCACCGGGAGGCGCCAGCCCAAATCCTGCCACTACAGTGCACCAAAAGATGGAGAGATGCAGCCCAAGGACAGAGAGTGGCTTGCTGTGTCCCTACCTTGAAGATGGGTTTCCTGACTCTGGCGAAGTCTCTCACATACTTGTCTATCACTTCACACGTGCTGTTCACCAGCTGGGACCCAGATAGCCACTTGCGAGAAGGCAGCTGCATATACAGGGGCTGAAACAGACACAAGACATGGGCCACCTCAGTCTGCAGCCAGCACTTGCCTCCAGACCCAGTCTGCTCCTTCCTGCCCTGCACAAGGAGGCAGGCGGTCCCACCACCAGTGCTGAGAGTGAGCGGTCACTTGCTGTCCACCCAGCAGTGCCAGCCTCAGCTCCCTTGGAAAGATCCCTTTGCCCAGGCAGTTTTTCCAGAAACTCCCCTTGCCTCTGGCACTCTGATGTATATGTTCCTTACACTGTTTGCCTCTCAGGGGCTTGGGTAGATGTGCAGGGTATAATTGCTTTATTTGTACATGATGTTCATTTCAAGGGCATTGGATAGTGCTTCAGGGTGCTGGGACCTACTCCTGTAAGCCCAGCAACATGGAGAGGTGGCTCAAAAACAGCCCCCTCTCAAACCCCTTCGGGAGTCAAGGTCTGCATGAAATACAGTCTGGCTCAGAAACACAAGTTTGTTTTGCAAAACCAGCAATCCATTTCCATGGCTTTTTCTGGGTTTCTGGGCAGTCAGTGGAAGACTGCTGCTTCTTAGCAAGCACAACATTTTCTGAGACCTTTCCTATCACACCTGCCAGGGAACAGCATAACTCAGTTCAGACAGCACAGACCAAAGGGGACTGCCTACTCAGACATTCATCATCCTTTGGTGGACATCTCACTGTGGCTCAGATTCTTCTGTCTCTGAGGCTGATGTTTAGTACAAAGAGGAAAGATGCAGTGCCCTTAATAAAGACTTACATGATGAGAGGCCAGTATGGCAACCTTCTCCCTCTCCTTCCTTACCTGTGACTAGGCAATTCTATGCCCTTCCTTTCAAATATGGCAAGGGGGCAGGAGCTCTGAGACACATCCTCCTCCCTAGATCCTATGTGCCAGGATTTGTTACTATACAAAACCACATTGATGCCTACATGGCAGCATACAGCCATGTCACAGGGATTCTCACAATACAGTGACATTCGGTCAGCACATGTAGTAGTGCCAGATCCAGCCTTGGCACCAGCTCAGCTCTGCTGAACTGATGGGGGGCACAGGGGCTATAGCAGCATATGTATGCCCCCCCACCCCGCATTCAGTTTCTGATCAGAATTCAGCCTCAAAATGGACTTTGAGCAGCACAGGGGAGCTGCTGTCACCACAGCAACCCACAGCTGCGTAATTCCTGCTCCTGGTATTCATTTTGGAAACAAGATAACTACATAGGCAGCAGTCAAGCTTCGCGGATGCCCTCTTATCCTTCTCTCTGTTAGGGGAA